TAGCGAAATCAAAGAAAGTTGTTCTAGAAGTAAAAAAAAAAAAAAATTATCGTAAAAAAAAAAACTAAGGGAACTAACATATACTAATAAAAACACATAACATAATTATATTATGAATGATTATTGACATATTATTAAATAAAGTTATAAAGTTATAAAATCTCCATAATTTATATACAGCACAAAAAGAAGAAAGTAATCTCTCTTGTTTAACATGACAAGTTAAAGTTTTCTCTTGTACTTGTTACAAGTGTCCTTTTTCCCTTTTGTTCTCTGTCTTTCTACCATCAGTTATGGCAAGCTCCAGTGAATCAGACCCCCTCTCCTTTGGATGAAATTTATATCCACTTGTCTATTAAAGAGAAATAAGGTCGGTTAATTATGAACGGACCAAAATAAGGGGCTGGGGAACCGATAGAAGAATGGAAATGGTGTTTAGGGAAAGGCTATCGATGGATAGACCAGTTAATTTCCTGGCTTTCATAAATACAATGGTTGTACTTGGAGACTACCGAAGGGGCTGATTGTCAAAGAGTTGGGTACTAATGCCTTCCCCTTTCATTTTTTCACCCAATTGATCATGATCGTGTTATTGATGGTGGTCCGTGGAACTGGTCACATAATCTCTTTATTCTCAAATCACTATCTCCAGGTGATAAACTACGGAATGTAAAACTTATTTGTCACGCTGGAATCAAGCCAATTCCATTCTATACTGATTGACAAGACCCGCACGATTTTGTCCCATAGGTGAAATTGGAAACTTTTCAGCAAGTCACCCATCCTAGGATTTCTATTAAGCGAGCACGCTTAACCCTGGAGTTCTTCCAACTCTCCAAGTTATTCTACCAAAAGGTAACTCTGGTGATTAGTTTCTCCATTTTTGATATATGATCCGATATATTTCCATGCTCCGCATTCCACTATTCATAGCTAGCCTGCCATCCTAGAAGCTAGCCATAAGCTTTGCTCTACCTGCTCTTTTAGGATCACTTTGCCGGGTCAGGATGTCACATTGCTGCTGTGGATTTTTATGTCCAAGTTCATAATCTTCCCATTGGCTTTATGTCGGAAAATACTGCAAAAGGTATTGGGAACTATGTTATACTTATATTGAAGCGGATCCTAAAGACTTTATTGGTATATGGAGGGATTACATGAGGATTAGAGCGAGGGTGGATGTGCATCGACCACTTAAACATTGTATGTAGATTAAGAAGAATGGCAAAGACTAGATGTGGATTGATTTTAAGTATAAAAAGTTGTCCATCTTTTTTGTTTTTATGTGGTTTGTTTGGTCATGTTGACCGCTACTATAGTAAACTTTTTAAATCTCATACATTTACTAAAGAGTAGTTTTGATTATGGTTCATGCGCAAACAGTCGTCATGTAACTCAAATTGAAAAAAGATGGCTAAGAACAGAAGCAGAGGAGAGTCCGATGAAGAAGGAAGGTTCAAGGCCGATGGATGTGGAAACTCCTATTATTGTGGGATTTGATAAATTTTGGTTCAAATTCAAATTCTAGCCTAATCCCTACTAGTGCGGCAAAGTCAAAAGGAAAGGATAAGCACTAAGTTACTAGTTTTTAGGAAAATAAGTAGGGATGGAAGCGGTGCGGGTACCTGCGAAATTTAAGCTACTCGTACCTATATCCATTTAAAATTTTACTACTCATATCCGTTTAAAACCCGTTTAAATATCCATTTAAGTACCCGTATCTAAACTCGTTTAAATTTTTACTATCTGTACCCTTCTAAAATCCGTTTAAAGTACCCTTATATGGGTAGGATACCCGCGAACCTTAAATATCGAAATCCAAACTTTTTTAAAATATAATTTTTATTAGTAATGAATAGGATATCCATGAGTACCTGATAGCGGTAACGGGTAGTGGGTACTGAAAGACCTATGCTCGTGCCCTACCCGTATTCATTACAGATATTAATTTCACTATTCGTACCCGTCCTAAAACTACTTATAACTATTCAAATTCTCTTTAAACGGATCGGAGCGAGACGAATACCCTAAAATACCCGCACCGCTTCCATCCCTAAAAACAAGTATGTTTCTATTCGGCAGTCCATGACAAATATTAATTTAGTCTCTCTAACCATTGGAGTTTTATGTAAATTCACAGATTGGTTCTAGCTAAATATTTATATTCTATCATATTTGAAACAACTGGTTACAAATAGTGTTGAAGAAGGTGGCAGCTCTTAACAAAATTTAAAAAGGTTCATTGAGTGGATGAGAGAGTAGGTAGTTTCATTATGTCATTAGAATTTACTTTATTTTTTTCTTGGAATAATATGTTGGTATCATTAGGGTGAGCAGTATTTGGTATGGACCAAATAACCAAAATGAACCAATTCATTTTGATTTAGTTCAATCAGCATTTTAAGAGTTAGTTAACTTTTTGGTTTGAATAATGATAATTGAACAAATTTTGATTTTTGGTCCGGTCACTTACATAGTGACAGCTTATTTCGCAAGTGTACGAAAAAACTTGACAGCTTATTTCGCAAGTGTACGAATTACTACAAGTAATATATGATAAGTAAGATATCGTTTCCACGAGAATTGTATTCCAAGTACCAAAATTATGTTATCTCGTTATCATTTAAACAATAATTGAGAGAATTGTTTTATAAATATAAAATAAACAAAAGTCAAGTAAACAAGATTTGATTAAAAGGAATCAAGGGATTAAAACTAATAGGGATTTTGATTTCACTTAATCCTATCCAATTTATTTCATTAGTTTATTAATCAATTTAATTATTCAAGTAGGGGAACAACTCTGAATTCACTAACAAGCTCTTCCGATGTATTGTTAGCTATTTTAATTCCATTTAATTAATAAAACATAGGGATTTTGATTTCACTTAATCCTATTCCAAAATTTTATTGTCATTAGTTTATTAATCAATTTAATTATTCAAGTAGGGGAACAACTCTTGAATTCACTAAACAAGCTCTTCCTATGTATTGTGTAGCTATTTTTATTTCCAATTCTAATTATCTATCTTTCCAATAGCACACAATCAAATATAAATTAAATCATTAAAATTAGGTAGTGTTATATGAATCATTAATTTAAGGTTTGGTAAATCATGAAAAAACCCCCCTGAGTCAAACCATAATAGCTTCCGCATCAAGTTATTATTCTCATGTGTTTTATTAACTTTTCATATCAAAAATCCTTCTTCCAATAGTGATAATTGGAAATAAATCAAATCCAGGGGAAACTCTGCCTGGAACATTTAAGTTTATCATTAAGTTTATCAATAAATCATAACTTGAATAAGGAAAAATAAATCTAATTGCATAAATTGGAAGAGAGATTAAGCTACATCAAACCCCTAGTATAATAGTTTAGTTAGACATGGCACTTAAATAAAACTCAATAATGATTGATAAGTATTTCATAATCAATAAGAATAATGAAAGAAATAAACAAGATTAAGAGTTTAGAAATAAGAACTAGTAATAATTTGCTTGGATGGCTTCCTTGAACCTTTGCACAACTCTTGAATACTTAATTTCTAAAGAAGAATAAAACTATATACAAAGCTATAAAATGAGAGAAAGAAAGAATAGATGTAGAATGGAGTGTATCAGATCCCCTTGAGATGAACTCTACTCTTCTTTATATAGACTTCTTTGAGAGAGGATTCCACATGGTTTAATGATCAAAGTTTTCTTTTGTTAGGTTGTAAAGCTCTCTTTTTTTTAGGTCTCCATTTTCTTCAATTATGACTCACCCATGTGCATAGAGTAGATCTTGGTTTGCATTGTGAGGGAAAGTTTGTCCAAGATGCTCCATAAATTGGTGGAAAGTTTGGTTGACAAACTTTTGACTCACTTTTAGGATTCCTTTGCTTGACACGGGGCGTGCGTCCTAACCGGGTTTGGGACGTTGCGCGCCTCAGGAAGTCTTATGCAATAACAGCACGGGCGTGTTGATTAGCACGGGTAGACCGTGCTAAATGAATTTTTACCTCATTTTTGCCCTTTTTCTTGCAAAACCTACATTTTTCCTCAAAAATCAAGTGAGTTGTGTTTCAAGGAGCTTTAAATAAAAACATATCAATTTACATAAAAAACTAATTTAAATAAATTAAAAGTAATAGAATTTTAAATCAAAATCACAATAAAAAATTACATTATAAAAATAAACAATTATTCACATAGCAATATTACATAAAAACTAATTTAAATAAATTAAAAGTAATAGAAATTTTAATCAAAATCACAATAAAAATACTATAAAAATAACACTTATCACATAGCTAACTGAATTGATATCTAAGCCCAAAAATACATAATTTAGTTTGAAATAAATGAACTAAACCCAAATCGATCTGATTTAACTCACTATCTAACCGATTTTCACGCTTTTCGGTTCAAATTTGGTCATTATAAAATCTATTCAGTCCGATTTAGTTAAACTAAATGCTTACCCTTAGGTACCATGTACCCCGAAGGAGAAGCTATATGGCACTGGTTGAAATTGTAGCGAATAGAGCAAGGTGGGATCTATATCGAGAAATGCAGAACAAAAGTTAAAATTTGAATGATTAAAATGTGGAAGATTCACCTAATCAATTCTCCTTTTATCATAAATTTCTAGTATAAAAATAACTTTGAAATTAGGAACAACGTTCCTACAATTTAGAAACAGTGACCCGATGAAAATCTTATTTTCTCGTACTTTTTTTTAGTATTATTAAGGGTGTCACGCAAATTCTATTCTCTCGTACTTTTTTTTAGTATTACTAAGAGTATCCTTCCACCTTTAATTTAGTGGTTAGATGAGATACTAATTTATTTTCGTCGCAGAGCGATTATATTATCCTAATACTTAATATGGACTCTAAGGTCTAATTCTGCGATCACCAAGTTAAGATCTAGAGTAGTTTAATCGCTAAATCAAGTTATATTAGATTATCTACGCATACTTTTATGAATTGTGAATCTTTATTTGGTTTTATCGGCTCGAATGGGCTGATTGGTTATGAATTTTTTTTCCAGCCTAATAGAAAATAAAATATAGAACATTAGGCCCACTAAACTCAAATTTGAAGGACTTACTGGAAGAACCGGAGAAAGCTTTGCTCCTTGTGAAGACTGAAAACAAGAAACCAAGACAAGAGGCAGATCGGTAGACTTGGTAAGCTGAGGCAATATCAATGAACAGAGCTCTCGTGTCCATTGCTAAACGAGCTGCGACAAAAGTTAATAACTCAACTTCTCCTTCCCCCAATAGTAAACTATTTGTTGCAGGTTTCTCCCTCTCTCTCTCTTTCTCGCATCCATGTATTATTTATACCTTTATATGACACATTTCGCTTATGAAAGAGTATTCGTATATGTTTAAGGCTTGTCGTGGTCGGTTGACGAGAAATCGTTGAAAGATGCTTTCTCTTCTTTCGGAGAGGTTACTGAAGGTACTAATGAATATAATCTGCTATGAACTTCGTCTAACTTATGTTTGTCTTTTTATTTATGGATAAGCAATCCACCTGTTCGACGAATTGCCTAAATGACTATTATCTATGTTTCATTCTGACAATTAATCGGCAGTCAGTTTGCAGATAGGGATAATGGAAAACAAAATAATCTCGCATCCAATTCAGACAAGAAATATTCTCATTTCTTTTTATTGCTTCAGTTAGAATTGCATATGATAAAGTTAGTGGCAGATCAAGAGGCTTTGGTTTTGTCAATTTTACAAAAGAAGATGAAGCTATATCTGCAAAAGATGCCATGGATGGGAAGGTGAATTTAGGTTCTCTAACTTTACTTGAAATTACCCAATTTCAATTCTTGTCGAATAGCGAAAATTGTTTCTCATAAAAAATAGCTTCCATTTTCAGGCATTGTTAGGTCGACCGCTGCGAGTAAGCTTTGCTCTTGAAAAGGTTCGCGGTGGACCTGTAGTCGTCCCTCGCCTTTCAAATGCAGGAGATGACTTTAATCGCAAAGCTTAATTCCAATAACTCTATCCAAAAGAAAGAGTGTGTTTTCGTTGTATCATCATTTAGTAATGAAAGGTAATAAACTATGAGCTGTATTTCCATTCCTATTTTCCCCTATAACTCGTCTTCAGATAAATTGGAGAAAGAAAAAAGAAAACTAATAAATAAGATCATTTAATTCTGATATTTGAAAAATTCAACTATTTGGTTTTTATCATTTGAATTGAAAGAGAATTTTGCTGTAAACGACAAGGAAAAAAAAAAAAAATGTATTCCTACATCAGCAAAATTTCAATTTCCTTATATCTATCCCCTCAAAGGGGAATGTCAAATTGATGGTTATGGCTATATGATCTAGAGACTTTTCCATTTGTTTAAATAAGGGGGTTAAACGAATTAAAATATTGCTAATATGTAAATGGTGTTTTCAAATTTTCTTTTTCTATAATAAAATATAGAAACAATTTACTATGTTAAAGAGTTTTATTCGTCTATCAGGTCCCATGATGAATGGTTTTTAAGTTTATGACATGGCTTGAAAAATAATTTTTTTTATTTTTTATTTTATTTTTGTCGGTAGTCCACGTATTTGGGCCCGAATGTGCTAAAGTGAAGTTCTCTTTTATGTTATACAATGAAATGGAAACTACGGGGCCTTTGCATACAATTTGGGAATCATTTTTGCATCTCCTTGTGACCTTACATTGACTTGAAAAGACTTTCTCATGCGTCAACTGGAACACAAAATTGCATGTATATGGAAAATATCATGGTGATCGGAAATAATATTTCTAGCAGGGTTGTTTAGTGCAAACTGTAAAACTGAACCAGATCAAATTAAGGTAGACAGTTTAGTTCAGTTTTGATTACTAAAGGTCTCCTCGGCAATAGTAGATATTTTAGAAGTGATTAGTTATTGTAATAGTTGTTAGGTATTAGTTTTTAGCAGGTAGCTGATTATATTGCGGTTTAAATTAGAAGCATTTGGTAAAAGCAACTGTTTAATCAGTTGTTTAACTTCAAATCACAAAAGAACATTAGTTGTTTAATTAGTTGAATATAGATGAAAAATTAATAGGTATGATTATTAAAAAAATTTAATTAAAAGCTAGACAAACTTTAGAAGTTAAACATGCGGTCAACGTTTCATGAAAAGTAGCCTCAATTTTTAAAAGTTATTATAAAAGTTATGTTACCGAACTCTATAATTAATAGAGATGGAGAGTTCTGATTTGGTCAAAATGCTAAAAGTTAGCTTGAAAGTTGTCAAATAAGACCTAAGAAATAACAATTTGGTTTGTAAAGTTTGAAAAATAATTAGTTTACAGTTGAATTTCAGTTTTGATTTTGAAATATATATATACATTGAAACTTAGAAATAAGAAGTCAAAATCTCATTTAGTAATGTAACTAGCTATAATGCCCGCTTGTCATTTTCATAGCTAAAAAGTGTTCTTCGCAAATGTCATCTGATTTGACCAAATATTTATAAAGTTAAAAATGAAAAAAATTTAGGAAGTAAAAAATGTGAAAATAACCTTTTATACTAATTTATGTATACATGAGTATTGGTTTATAGGGCTCAGTCATTTTAACTGGAAAGTGTGCAGGGCTTCAACTTCAAGAACCAAAATACATCCAAAGCTCTGGCTTCCCTTGACAATGGAAAAGCTTCTGCCTTCATTCTTAGTTCCCCTCCATCATTTCCTTGTTCTGCTTTACTCCTTGAAGAATACCCCTCTCCCATTCACAGTTCATTAAGGCAACATCAAGCGAACTCTCCAAGTAACAGAAATGTAAATATATAAGCAGGGACATTATCATCAGATTATTAGCAAACAACTTTAGAAAGACATTATTTTTTTTAATTGTATAAACAATATTTTTCACTTTCCCTGGTTTAGTAGAAATTGATGAGACATTATGGAATATAGAGATGCAGATTTGTGAACCTAATATAGAGTAAAAAGATCAAGAAATGAAAGCAAATCAATTTATATCAAAGCTAGAAAATGCAGCTCAGAAGAAGAATTAACAGTAATTTTAAAATTTTAAAATTAGACGTTTGAATTTTAGGCAACAGTAGTGATATTCGCAAAATTGTAATAATATTCCAAACAATAATTCTTTAGCTGTATTAGATATGTTAGCATACATAATATTTAATACCATGTAATCCCATGTTAGCATAATCTTAGGCTTGACTCTAGGCTTGATACTTGGCTTGATTCTTGGCTTGATTGTAGCCTTGATTCTAGCCTTAATTCTAGGCTTAATTCTAGCATTGATTTTAGTTTTCTCTTTCTAGTTTTTTCATGTATAAATATGTGATTTCATTGTACAATACATAATATTTAATACCCATGTAATCCCTGTTTGCATAATTTCTTAGGCTTGACTCTCGGGGCTTTGATACTTGGCCTTGATTCTTGGCTTGATTGTAGCCTTGATTCTAGCCTTAATTTCTAGCTTAATTCTAGCATTGATTTTAGTTTTCTCTTTCTTAGTTTTTCATGTATAAATTTGATTTTAGTTTTCTCTTTCTAGTTTTTTCATGTATAAATATGTGATTTCATTGTACAATTAGACATAACAAAAACTCTAGCCTTAATTCTAGGCTTAATTTTAGCATTGATTTTAGTTTTCTCTTTCTAGTTTTTTCATGTATAAATATGTGATTTCATTGTACAATTAGATACAACAAAAACATAAATTCCTTCTTTCATAACATGGTATCATAGCCAAAGAAAGGCTGATTTCTGCTTCTGCACCTTCTGCATTCTCAGCATTTCCTGCACTTTCTGCATTTCTCAGTCAAATCTGAAACTCACGTCACCTACCAAGCTCCTTCTCTAATATATATAATTTTTTCTATTTCAACATTTGTGATTCCTTTTCTATTTGGCCTCCACTCCCAAATGGAGACATCTGAGATTGCAAAACCCATTGTAACCATTTTAAACACTATATCTTGTGGGTCCAGGAAAGGGGAAAGTTTTTTGGATTGGTTCTTAAGCTTTTTGGCGTTATTGTTTACTGGAGGATATCATAAAGCCAAAACCAACAGCAAGATTGAAACTGAAGCAAATCTTTGCTGATCGCCTTAAAGATTTGGGTAGAAAAATCATCAGATCTATTACTTGGCTTTCGTACAATAGTTCTGTGCCATCTATTCACACTTCAATTGGCTAGTTAGTTCGACACTGCAAGAAATATGGATTTTCCATAGCCAATCGCTATCAAACCTACTTGGACTTGCTCATTATTTTCAACTTGTGGACTATAACTCTTCCATAATCTCAAACAAGAATATGGCCAACTCGTGGAATGATTTTTCTTGCCTCAAGTTCAACCGATTTGGAATCAAATATTCTCAAGTCAAGTTCAACCGATTTGGAATCAAATATCTCAAGCAAAAATCAGTGAAGATCATCTTCATCTTATTCAAGTTCTCATGGCTCTTCGACCTGAATATGAAACTGTCATAGCCTCTCTACTACATCGACACCCTCATCCTACATTGGATATGGCTATATAAGAAATCATTTTTTAGGAAACTCGCCTTAATCTTGACAAAACTCAGAATTCTAAAATAGCTCTTGCTACTACTCGTCCATCCTTTCAAAAATGTGGCAGCCACATCTGTAAGAATTGTAATAACATGGGTCATGTCTTTGCTAATTGTCCTACTGTTGAATGCAGATATTGTCATGCTCTTGGTCATATTCTTGAAAATTGCCCAACTCGTCCTCCACGACAAAAGAGTGGGGTCTCTAAATCCAAGAATTTTTCGAACCCTGGATTTAAATCAGTCACTGCTGCTGCCACTGAATGTTCTCCTACTCTCACCATAGGTGATATTGAGGCAGTACTCAAACAGGTTATATCTTCCAATTCTCCTGCTGCCATGTCTGTTACCCAGGGTAAATCTTGTTGGCTTTTTGATTCTGCATGTTGTAATCATATGACGACTGATATTAACCTTTTGTCTTCTACCACACCTGTCTCTTTCTTGCCACCAATTCATACTGCTAATGGTAGTCAAATGAATATTACTCACACTGGTCATTCATGCATCTGCCTCCAATCTTAGTCTTCCTGAAACCTACTATATCCCTAACTTGGCCCTTAATCTTATCTCTATTGGTCAGTTATGTGAAGCAGGTCTAAATGTCAACTTTTCTCCTTTTGGTTGTCAGGTACAGGATCCACAAACGAGACAAATTCTAAGGAAGGGTCGCAGGGTGGGTCGATTATTTGAGCTTGAATCTCTTCATCTTCCTAAAAAAGTTCTTTCCGCTGATACAACCACCAACTCTTCTATTCACCAATGGCATCTTTGTCTTGGTCATGCTTCAGCTAGCAAAATCCAGCCTTTAATTTCTCATGGATTGTTAGGATCAACAAAGTTTGAATCATTTAACTATTTACATTGTCAACTTGCAAAACAACCTGCCCTGTCTTTTAATAATAGTGCTTCTATTTCACACTGTTCTTTTGACTTAATTCATTCTAACATTTGGGGGCCTGCCCCCATTTCTTCAGTAAATGGTTTTCATTATTTTGTATTGTTTATTGATGATTATTCTCGTTTTACATGGATATTTTTTATGAATCATCGATCTGAATTACCACAAATTTACATTTCATTTGCTAATATGATTAAAACTCAATTTTCTTCTGTTATTAAAATTCTTCGAACAGATAATGCTATGGAATATCGGGATTCTACCTTACTACAATTCCTTAGTCAACACAGCGCGTCCATTTTGTTGGGAAGTATAAGGACATGAGCGTTGAACGACAGTGCCTTGTTGACTAAGGAATTGAAGTAGCATTATCTGTTCGAAGAATTTTAATAACAGAAGAAAATTGAGTTTTAATCATATTAGCAAATGAAATGTAAATTTGTGGTAATTCAGATCGATGTTTCATAAAAAATATCCATATAAAACGAGAATAATCATCAACAAACAACAACAAAATAACAAAAACCATTTACTGAACGAACATGGGGGCAGCCCGCCAAATGTCAGAATGGATTAGTCAAAAAGAACAGTGTGAAATAGACGCACTATTATTAAAAGATAGGGCAGGTTGTTTGCAATGGTTGACAATGTAAACTGTTGGGATCCTATTTCAAATAAATTGCGTATCTCTCGTCATGTTACCTTCTGGGAAAATACCATGTTTTCAACCCTTTCTAAATTTCAT